TTCAAACGTCGTTTAGTATCTCATTACTTCGACAAACGTCCAGACCTTGTTTTTCTTTTGGCCTACCTCTATCGACAAAATTGTGGGGCCTCCTTCATATCACCCAGTCCTCTATCTGATTTAAATTGGACTTTCTGAGATTCCCATGAAGAAATACAGTTGATACTCATTTCCGTCAAGTTCACGGTTTCATGTCAAAAACAATCATTGTGAAGTTAGACACTTCAAAACCCTTTACGTTTTGTTTCACTCTTTTTTTGCGTTTCATTTTCTAAAGAAGACACAACGCACAATGATGGACAGCTGCCACTCAGGAATAGAATAGAAAAATATAGATTAGGCAAATCTTGGCTCCTTGTCTCAAGCACCCGTCCTCTGGATTTTCAATTTAAAGCGGTGCTCGTCAATTCACCTCCCTCATTTTACCTGCGGCAGTCACTGTGAAGCGGGTACTGGATTCGCTGAGTGTTTAGGCCTCTTGCAACCCAGGAAGACATTCCAAGATGCAGCCTTTTATCCTTCTGCTAATTTGGCTGCCGTTGGCGTTTGCTGAAGATCGTGAGTAGAAGTACCAATATGGCATGATTGAAAATACCCGAATGTTTCTCGTTTGATTTTTATTACAACTGTTCTTTGAATACTTGCACTTGTGCCTGGCGGTAACATACGAAGATGGGAAATTGGGGTTTATCGATTCCGTTGTGAAAGGACCCCTTGAATGAAAACGAGGAGAATAGTTACAGTCGAGTCATGTCATGAGTGTGTCATCCACCTGCATCGGTTCCGCTTCCGCATTAAAAAAAATAAATTTTCAATTTGTAAAGAAAGTATAACAAGTCTGCACATAATTTATTTCAATTTTTAACGACTTGTTAATTATTCAATTAATTAGTACCTGTTAATTAGTAGCAAAAGAAATGTCTGTGAGCATTAACTGTAAAATATATGGAACAACTTTACAAAAAACTGCATAGGTTGAGCAAATTAATCTGCTCCAAGGAAACGCTTTGGTTTGTTTGTTTTGAATTTGAAGATACTAATAAACAGATTTATCCAATTTCCTACTGTAGTGCAAAAATGGCTGTAACGTTGAGGTTGTTTCATGCAATGATTTAATAACCGTGCTCATTAAAATGAAAATTTGCATATAAATCAAGGAGGCACCAAAATGCTCTTAAAGGTGGACATACGGGTCCATTAATTATGTTATACATCGACCATTTTGTTCACATTTGCAGACTGGTGTACATTGCTCTTAATATGATCGAACTATGGTACTCGATTTCCTCATGCAGGAGCGAAGGAAAAGTGCTTCCCGAATATCGGCTGCTTCAACTATGGTTACCCTTTCCTGGATCCGCCGCAGCGCCCGCTGAGCTGGGCGCCGCAGTCCCCCAGCCGCGTCAATGCGCGGTTCCTGCTGCACACTCGCCACAACCCACTGAAGGAACAGGCCCAGGAGCTATACATTGACAAGCCCAGCAGCATCACCAGTTCCCACTTTGACCCAAGCAAGGAGACTAAGATGATTTGCCACGGCTTCCTCGAAAGCGGTGAGGAAATGGTTCATTAATGGAACGGTTTTTTCTTTATTAATTTGTCGAATTATTTTGTCAAACCAAGTAGACCGAAGTAGGAACTATGGAAGGACGGGACACTGTACTGGCAACCTACCATCTGAGATGCTCTGTAGGCGCTCTATAGGCACCATCAACCGTGTTTCGTCGGCCTTGGGCACCATTGTAGGCCCTGCAGGTTTCACGACGAATGGGGCTCAGTCCCGAGCGCAAGCCAAGCGACATTGGAAGCTGTGACGTCATTGTTGACAGATATCTGCTAAAAGCTGTTGATCGGTCGATAGGAGCTGATCAGACTTTGTTAGATTACTGGATCTGCTGACCAGGTTCAGGCGACCTCTACAGAAAGCCAGGGGAGGGTGTTTTAGGTCTTAGGAAACGCGCTATTGTGTATTTTCTGAGCGTTAAATACAGAGACACAAACATGGTTACAATGCATTCCTTTGTTTTCGTGCAGCTAAGAAAACTCGGTGTAAAGACGCATATTTCTTGAACTGCAAGAACTCAATTTTCAGCTGGATTTTTGTAAACGGTTTCCTTGACTATTCCTGTTCCTTTTACAACGGTGACCCGAACCCCAAAACGCCTCTTGACTTCTTTTTTCGAGAAGGGAAAACGTCCTGTGGACATGCGTAAGTCAACAGAACGTCTCCCCTTCTTGCATAGTGTGGACATTATTTGGTCACAAGTCAACACTAGGTATGTTAGCGCTCAAACACACACCCATACAATTGTATTTTTATAGGCTAAAAAGCTAGCCCATGTATGCTGACTGAGTGTGTGTGTGGCCCCTCAAAAGGAACCTAATTTATTTAAACATTGAGAGGGGCGAAAATTTTGGCCTATTTCATATTTCCTTTTTTCAAAAAGTATAAAAAGCTTCAAAATGTCGTCGTCCGACCTCAGATAGCCCATGAAATGATGCATGAAAAAATTGCCTTCCCCAAACCCCAAATTTTGCCTCCCGAAGAGCTGTGTCTGATCCGCCCTTGTCGCCCAAACTACGCGTGCGGGGAATGTACCAGTCTGCACAGTACGGCTTGCACTCACTGGATTTGAGTGCGCTGGTCTTGGTGATTGGTCAACATCTTAAGGACGACATCATTTTGCATCATTAATCAGCAAAGATGCAAAGGTATCGCAGACACTGGTCGAAAGAGAGCCTTAGTTGGAAGTTAGACTAGAACGAGAGCTGCACAAGGGTGTAATTTCAAGGATTCCAGATAAAAACACTTACACAGACCCATTAAATGATTCACTTCAACAAATAATTTTTCTTTCAAATCAGTGTAAAACAAATGGTGAAATGTTGCTGCATTTCTTTGCATTTCATCCACACTCCTTCCCCTTGCAGGCTTGATAGAGTGGGATTACTGGATGATTGATATGACAAAGGCCTTCCTCAACTACGCCGACTACAACGTAATTCGGGTCGTCTGGGGCAGTGGGTCGATGTTCCCTTACACCCAGGCTCTGTCCAACACCAGGATCGTGGGTGCCGAGACCTCGCGACTTATCGACAAACTCAGGGTATGTTATGTCCTAAATTCTATTATATTAATTTAAAGTACAGGTAACACGTTGAAATGCTGCTTGAGATTTCAAGTGCAGCATGAAATTTTTTTTTTCTCAATTAGTCTACTTGAACGTGTCAGTTTAGCTTATCCAGGAGACCGGCACAGTTGTGTCTACATAACCTCTGGTGAAGGTGGAAACCTCCCAGATGTAGGAATCGCTATGAAATGACTTTCCACACGGGAAGGGGCCCACAGGAAGAATCTTATGCACAATTTTGAAAGGGTCAATTTTCTTGATATCATACTGAACGCCGACCGCTGGTTGACCAGAGTGCTCAGTCTTTACAAATCGCTCAGGTGTCAAAGCTGCCCTGAGCAGCTGAAAGGGCCGTGCTGGTCGGGAGTGTTCATATTTTTGTTGGTAGCGATGCGACTGCAACACTTGTGTTTCATAGTCGTTCATGAACCAGCGATGTGCAGTTTGCGACAACGACCAAAGGAGCACCGTTGCTGGGAAAATTGTACCCTCTCCCTTGGTTTCTTACAGGTACTAACAGGTACAGGTGCTATTCTGATTGTAGGCCTTTGTAGGCCTTTTCATCAGATCTTCATCGATCCGCTTAATAAACTTTAATGTGTGCATGCAACAGGGAGTGGCAGCATGAATATCATACTTGCATGGTTGAGAAGCCTTATCATGTGTAATCTTGCCTCGGACGATTTTACACTTGGGGCAGATATCACAAACATAGGTAATCTACTCCAGTTGTTAACTGATCGATGCACGAAAGAAAATTTCCTCACATCCAACCGAGTGATGGTATTACATAACTTAAAATGATGACCCCCAGTGTCGTGCAGGTGGATGGAATTGGTACACCTCTTGGTCATATATCCCCTCGAGTATTCTGTTCATCTCCATCATATCTCCTCGTATTCGTCTATATGCCAGGGTTGGTAGTTTTAATTGTTGTAATCTTTCCACGTAGGACATGTCCCTGAAGCCAGCAACGAGTCTATTTGCCCGTCTTTGAACATTATCAATTTCCAGAATATATTTTATGCGGTGCAAAATCTGATTAGCATGTTCAAGGCGAGGCCTTACCAAGGTTTTACAGAAGAAGGAACGTTCCTTATCTAGGTGCTCATAATTATGTGCGTCTAATCAAACGCATTAAAGAAGTAGCCTTGTTTATCTTAGTTGCCACGTGACTGATAAAAGTCTAGCCCAACACCCAAATCCCGTTCTTCTTATACTGGACTTAGCTTATGGTCCTCAACCATGACATACTTTTAAGATGTAGCTGCTGTCTTCCCAATTCTCAATGTGTTGCATCTTATCTGGATGAAATTTCAGAAGTGATTTATCGGACCATCCCATCAATCGGTTGATATAACATTGGAGGGTGTCTTAGTCTTCCTCTGAGAAGATTTTGCCTTTGAAGATGTTAGTATCATCAGCAAAAAAAAAATCTTCAAAATTACCCTTGTCGGTAGGTTTAGACCGCGCCGTGAAAACGTAGATCCAATGGCAGATCCCTTCGTCGGTGTCTTCAATGTACATCACGTTTGGGTTCATACCCCGGCTCCAACAGCACCAACAGATTGTTGTAAATCCAAGGCACCCGACTGGTGCTGACTACCATCTTGTTCTCCGACAATGACGCCATGCCAGAAACCAGCCAAATTGGAATAATCCTCTCACAGAAAACCAACCAACTGTACGGATTAAGCCAGGAGATATCTTGGATAAATTACCAAACAGCCGATAGATCTAGCTCAGTAAAACACAAGATGAAATTGCCCAAATTCAGTCTGATGTCGATTTTTTTTCCTGCCCAAAACACTTGGGTCTCAGCACAACCCACGCATGCGCGCAGCTTTCTTGCCTATAAACAGTCCCATATTGGACCACCCAGACCTGAATCTGCTTGTCCTGACGAAGATACCCCGTTACCGAAAACTCAGCAATAAGATAAATATTAAGACGGCTGACTTTGTATTGTGGTCAGCATTGTAATCACATGTGCAGCGCTCTCATATTTCGATTTGTTGTTTATCTCGTGGAATAACTTTGCCGCTTGCTGTGTAAATAAAGTTGGGAGGAATACTCTAGATGAAACAGAGGGAATCAGGTGGGGACTGATGGAAGGCGAGATAAGAACTACAGTGCCAACTTGACTCCCCCGTCAAAATATGACAAGATATTTCACATCAACTTAACGGGGTATAAATAAAGGTTTTTCGAGAGACTGATTTCTGATGCCGGCTCCTCCACTGTTCACTAAACATCACCGTCGATTCTGTTAACATGCAGGCACTGTACGGTGTTTCTGCGGGGTCTTTCCATTTCATTGGCCATAGTCTCGGGTCTCACATCGGTGGATACGTCGGCGAACGACAGTCCGGCCTGGGCCGAATCACGGGTAAGAAAAACACACACCGGCCTCTCATATTGGGCTATTCGTTTATGGGTGGCCAAAGGTTATACAAATATCGCCCTTGGTTGCTGTCAGATTTTCCCTCAAAACGTGAATTTGCTCCATTGCTTTTAATGGTCATGATTTAATTCAGTCTGTGTGGGTGTTGTGGTATAGACTTCATTCATTGGTCGACCTTGTTGAAATTGAAAGCAATGTTGTCTTCATTTTCATATCTGAAAAGCAATAAAGTGAAAGTTTATGACAAATTAGTACCAGGTCAATTCCGATGAACAATTTCAAATTTGTGACTAAACATATCTTGGTTTACAAGCCAGATTTACAAAAATATTGAAAGGGAGGCTGGGAACGCATGGCAATCATATAACCTGTCTGACGGATGCCATCCTCATCAAGAGTTCAATCTTAGAAAACATATCCAATAGGAACGAAAATGGCTCCCCACGGATAAGGTATAAACTATGCCTTTGGGTATAATTGGCTGTGTGGTATTTAAACTTGATAACACCGTATGTGTTTCTTTTGCTTGAGTATTAACAGCTGCAAGACGATTTTCGCGTTGCTGCGATTCGATACGTGTGCATTGCGTGTGGTGCATAATAATTCATGCGATTTACTATTACAGCGCCCTCTTTTGACGCGTACCATCCTGCGATAGAGATTCGCCTGGTGATGGTTCGTGTTGTGAAATAAACTAAAGGAATGTCTTGGAATCAAGACTATGCTTCAGTGACAAATGCGACGAAAAAGATAGAAAGACGAGACCACGCACTCATTGCAGCTTGGCTCGTGAGATGGGTCCATGTTCGTTATTCTGTAAGCCCTCATAAGATCAAGATCACGACGAGATTTCTTCAAGAGTATTATATTTAAAATACATGTACAAGTTTTGGCTTTTTCTACCAAGAAAGCCTCCAACCTCATGGATTCATAGAGCGTTACTTCCGTCCTTCGCCTTTGCCTAAGAAAAATTAATAACAAGAGGCTTCCACACAAAGCTTCCCCAAACCTTAAAAATTATATTATATTATGTCGCACCGTTAGGTTGGTCCATAAAGCTTTGACTTATAGTTTCCAAAACCCTGAAAGTGAGATCTGCTCTGAAATCACTCTGTTGTTCTGGAGAGTCAAGTTGGCGTGGCGGTACCTCCGCCTTCTTCCTCTGCTGCCCGGGTTCGAATTACGCCCAGGTGCTACGCCGGCATTTGGAGTTCCAAAGTAACCGAACACTTTTTTCATTGTTCTATCCTCAGAGTCCCATAGGATGAAGAGTTTATAATTGATAGGGCTTTAGCCTGGTAAGTTCTTTCACCAGCAATAAAATTGCCATGATGACGCACATACCAGTGTACCAACAGCTTGATTTGCTTCTTTTTTTCATAGGATTGGATCCGGCCGGACCAGGCTTCGAGAACACCCAGCCACAGGTCCGATTGGATCCCACCGATGCTCTCTTCGTGGACACTATCCACACAGACGCAAAAAGCCTCCTCGCGCTAGGTACGGAACTATTTTATTGGTCGTCATTTTGAGTTCTAGAACTAGTGGTGTAAGTACGGAGACCAATGTACCAGTAATGATATTTATGTACTGCACCTCAGCTTTCGTAGTTAAATTTGTAGTTGGCCAAATGCGTAAAGGTTTTTTTCCAAAATCAAATGCCCATGAATGCGCCCTTTACATGTACATGTGAAGAGTTCCATGTACTTCAAGGATCATTAAAACATGTATAACTCGTGAAGCCTGTGGTGAAAGTTCAAGCCCCTTTTGTAATTGTTCCCATTTGTCTGCACTTGTGATTGAGTTAGATAAATTACATGGGTTGGAGCACTGCTTCATGACTTGTCTCCCATCAGTCTGAAACATTTTGCATGTACCCCTTGTCTTCACCCGTAGGCTTCGGTATCGTCGCTCCTGTGGGGCACATGGACTTCTACCCGAACGGCGGCAGCAGTCAACCCGGCTGTGATCAGTCACTCTTCGAGGACTTTTTAGACGAGGGCCTCATAGGGGGTGAGAGCTATACAAAGACGCTTTTACCAAGGGGCCAGGCGCCAGAATGCACATCGATCTCTTTGTGCGGCCACAAGACCATCCTTTCGAAACATTTCAGTGCCCTTCGAAAAGTCATCTCCACTCTCCCGTTTCCTGAGAGTGAAACAATACTTTACGATTTAGAGTGAAAAAGATTGCTCTAAACTGAGATCGGGTCATTTTTGAAAAAAAGAACCACTATCAGCGGAAAAATAGAGTAGGCCTAAAAGTGCGATTTATTCGAGTGATCGAGCCAGTAAGTTGAATTTGTCTGGTCCCTTTAGTTTCCGTCGATGGGACGAAATTTTTAATAGAACATTGTGAATTTCATTATTTGGAATTTCAAGAGCAAAACAATAAGACCACACATTGCGGTATGATAATTTACGACCTGGAAATCAAGTGATGAACCAGGATATCCATGCAAGCAGGCTTAGAATTGTGTTTAACTTCAGAATGTCTTTGTGAACGATTTAACTTTACGGGTCTTCATTGCGTTCAATCATGCTTATGTGCAATAAAGCTGCTGTGGACAAACCAGTTTTGTACATGCCATCTGTAATGGGTAATATCTTGAGATCCAATTAAGCTAGACCTACGTTCCATTTTTCAGGATTATTGCTAAACACCCTGCTCATCAACTCTAGGTAGAAACAACCTATCTTATTGACTGAACTTTCTGTAAAGTTACGAAGCCTCACTGTTCTATCATAATCTCAGGTAGAGCATCACTTTGATGTTTTTGTCACCTGAAAAATAAAGGCACAGGAATTTTATCTATTATGTCCACCCACTGCATTTTCCCCATAACTATTAAGCTGTTTGGAAGATTTTACAGGGGTTAGCTCAGTTTCAGTTCAAGATGGCTAACTTGCCGTTTGTTCATTTACTAACCTTACTCTTCTCCACACCTGAACAGGAGGTGTGAAGTTCGTGGCATGTAATCACATGAGGGCTCACGAGTTCTTCACTGAATCCATTAGCAAGTGTCCAATTTATGCTTTCAGATGTCCCAATGGTAAGTAAAATCAACATGGAATTGGGGACAGAAATCAGGGGCGGCAACCCAATTGTCATCCTCCCCAATTAAGCCCTAAAAATTGTTCAAATGGCGTAACAAAAAATTAACATTGATATCTCCACTCCCTAGAGTGATACTATTGTGTGACATTGGAAACAAATATCCATATGTCAAATTTATAACTCTATGTCAACCTTACTTTTTGAAAGAAATATAAGTGAATCCAGGAAAAGTATTGAAAACTACATCAAAAAGAGAGACTTGCTTTCTTTTGTTTTTCTTGTGTTGTCGCCAAAGATGCGGACACGTACGACAATTTCCTCAACGGTGAATGCTTCAACAGTGGCGACGCAGCGGTGATGGGATTCCATTCCATCAAGCAGAAACCACCCTCTGGCGTCACGAACCAGAAGTACTTTGCGACAACAACGGATAAGTTTCCATTCTGCTTGGGTGAGTAGGACAAACAAGCCCGAAACCCAAAATAATGTCAGAAACGTATTCAGTTTTACACTATGGGTCTGTGCTAGGCTGGTTTCCTGATGCAAGAACGGTAGGCAAGGCCGTTCTTTGATAGTCAACTTCGTCTCCGTCTCGGGCTTCGTGTAGGAAACCAGTCCTCGTATGTTCCTGAAGCGTTTAACTTAAATTTAGAAATGTAATGATTGGCTCTTTTGCATCTTACTTGGTGTTTTTTTGGCACTATCAAACTTACTCTTGCGCTTACAACCTCAAAGTCGGGAAGTAGAAAAACAGTTGAAGCCTCAGACGGAGCCCAAGTCGAGAATTGGAAAACGGCCCATGTAACTTTATGTCAGTCACAAAAATAGAGTATGACGTAAACTCCTTTTTAAAAATGCAGCATATACACTAAGTTTTGTTTTTGACCAGTCAACATAATCAAGTTTGTGAAAAAGTGGAAGCCAATGTGCAAACAAGTCAGAGGCCAAACTGGTGATGGGCATAGGCGTAATTATTTATTTACCCTGTGGTTTTTATGTCATCCACGCACAGGGGATATTTATGAATAACTCGGTAACTGGATAATACGGCCGTTTCACAATAGTGCGCCATCAAGAGTTTGCAGCGCGTTGGCCAATCACAGTGCGCGAAATTTGTCGACCCAATGCGCGTTTGGAAAATGTCGACAAATTTTGCGCGTTATGATTGGCCAACGCGTTGCAAACTCTTGGTGGCGCACTATTGTGAATCGCCCGTATTACGGTACAGTGTGATTAGGAGTCATTAAGAAAGAATTTCGGGGAGTTCAAGAACAACGTCGTTCGACATAGAATGATTGGGCAATTATAATGAATCACGAGAGAGCGCTGTTGCGCGTTCCCATGGCAGAGACGCGTTCGGACAGACAGACTGGAGGACTATTTTGAACGGGAATGCATGTAGGAAAACTGTAAATAGAACCCCTTCACAGCACGGTAACCAGCACCCATCTTAGCTTAAAAAAGTGACATTTAGCCAGCGATAGTCTCATTAACTTTGTTAAAATTAATCTTTCTCAATTTTTATTATAAATTAAAACGGCACCACCATAATGTTTCAAGTTTTCTCAGAAAATCAAAAGTCTTTTCAAAGAAATTCAAATGTTTAAAGACTCGCAATAAAAACTAACACCATACTGAAAATCGCTTTTTAAAATCAGTAAGTTCAGACATTCTGGGATTCATTGAAATTTGCAAGCAAAGGGCCTGAACTGAAAGTGTTTTAAAAGAAACATCTAAAAGAGAAAATTCGAGTCAGCAGTTTGCAAGATGAAAGGAAAGTGTGTCAAATAAATGAAAAAACAAGTCAAATGAAAGAAATACAACTGATGTCGAATTAAGCTTGAAAGTCTGCTATCGAGCAACCGTGATTGCCTGAACTCGTTTGTTTGTCTTCTTTTCATGCTTTCCAGTACCAGTAGATTGTGGCTAATATTTCGAGAAATCCCATGGGGGTGAAGTTGAATAGATATATTTTGTTTTAATTAATTTTGAATTTTTTTTGGGGGGGAAGCTTTTGAACGTACACAGCTATATCGATTTGTGAAATTGTTCTCTTTCTGATAGCGGGGCTTTGTAAGTGCTTATTCTGATGATATCATGTCAACTTCTTTGCTGGCTTTCTGTCTCAATGCATGTGCCTGTAGCATCAGGTGTGACGCCCAAACAGAAGTGTTGACCGGTGTTATTGTTCTCACATATTCTGATCCAATGAATGCTCAACAAAATTACGCCCCTAACAGTTAGATGAAATCGAAGCGTCCTTTAAAGGCGACAGAGACACCTACACAGTGATTTGACCACCTGTACAGCTGTGACGTGCTTCCTTCACAGAATTCTGAGAGGGGCTTGCTCATCACAGCCACCGTATACCAGGCACAAAATGAGACAGAGGAGTACCCCCAACACGTCCAATCCCTATACACACTCCAGCCTATTGTCACTTTACACATCCCCCCGAGATGTCTAAAAGAAGAATTCCTGAGATACCAGTATAACAATGACCAACACAAAGGAGGGGTGTCTCTCTGTCCCATAGTTTGCATCAAATGAGCCACCAGATCCGACCACCCACTGTTATTATATGAGGCTTTTACATCAAAATGCCAACACTGAAAGGTGGAGGTAGCAAATCATCGGATTACTTGATGATGGCGATGCTAACAAGCGAGGTTTAACGTCGAATACCCGTGTTGGAATGAGTGTTTTTCCCTTACATGAAACAAACTTGAAGGCTAATCTGGGCAGAAAATGAAATAACTTTTCAGAACACACAATATATATTGTAAAAAGGACATGAATTGCAGAAAAAATTCCCTTTGCTTCCCCAATACTAAACGCAAACCCATAAACTCCTACACGCTAACCTTACTTTCCCTCTTTTGTGCTCAAGACTGTACCAGATGCTGTTAAGTTGTTGCATGACTAAGAGTCTCTGGTAATGTATCACCAGCACGCTTCTTACCGTGGCATGTTGCTTGAAAAGCCTCGTTCATAAACAGTACTGGATAGTCAGATCAGTTGGTCCAAGCACTCTGTAAATGCGATGTGGACGACCAAGGTCAACTTCACCAATTACTTTCCCCTCTCTCTGCAGAGAACCCCTTCCAAGTTGGCCTGCACTTTGATAAACCATGGTATTCCGAGACATTCAAAGGCTGGGCCTACGTGACTCTCATCGGCGGGAAAGGTACAACGAAGAGAACCGAGCTGAATGAGTAAGTACGAATCGGGATGCGTCAATCATACGTAGGATTGCTTGTGGCGAGGTTTCTTCACAATATTCTCCACGTCGACACCCTGAAATAAGTCACCAAGGATTGCCCACATCTGCCAATAGAACACACTTGCCAGTTCGATAAGGAACCACTGCTCGACTATCACGGCCTCGACGTAATTTGCCAGATCGGCGTCGATGTTAGGTTTGAACATCTCTAGCCGAACTTTCGATATTCTCATGACCCTTGATCGTCGCTTTACACTGCACGTGCGCGTGAGAATAGTGTGGTTCCCTGCTCCTAACAGGGAACCACAAACATCTGCACTGTAAGTTAAGGTAATCTCACTGGTCAAAAATAACGTGTGTCGTAATTGATCGTTATCTATTTCAAGTGCAGCGCGCGCGTATGCATAGGTTTGTTAATGTCAGCGTCATCAATGATGTTGAAGCATATCCGGTTCGTAAGTGACTTCGTCACAAAGGCGGACGCTCCACGATTTGCAGGCGTTCATTGGACAATAGCTGAAGTTGCGCGTTAACCTCCGGTTCCACGGTTCCATGTAAACGACGATCAATAGAGGGATCCGAATACGACACTTTTAGCGTCGATCTGCGCACTTCCGTGTTTTAAAACGAGGCTGTATGTATCAGCTTCAATTCTTAATACGATCATACTGAGTTAGGACACAAAGTACATAAAGGTAAGTTAAATTCAGACTTTTCAAGCAGCAAATTTGTGTGGAAGAGTCTTTCAGGATGACTCGACGCGTAAAATCAAAAGAAAAAATTGACCGCGAACTAACGTACCTGCGATGGTCGTGTATCTTGTGCAGTCGACGTGGTTTAAACTGAAGTGGCGTCACACTTACGAACCGGATACTCCATGTACTGTGTGGACTCCGCAGGCGCGCGCGGCGAAGTTCAACACAGAGAGCCTCGGTTTCGATGCAGATGTGCGCAGACGGCGCTAATGTGAAATCCCTCTATGGCATGCAACTCTATGTGCAGTGCATGTGCAGTGGGAGTGGTTTAAACTGAAGTAACGTCACACTTACGAACCGGGTAAAGTTGTTTCGCGTGACGTCACTTGACAAGCCAAGGCAGTTCAGGAAGCGTTCTAAGTCTGCAACGCGTGTATATTGAACGCTGACCGTCAAAATTCACTTGACTGAAAAACCGCTATAGCTTCCCCAAGTCAAATTCTAATGCAAAAAGATTCAGGTCTTAGTAAAAGATCCCACATCTACCATTCGTTACCGACACTGATGAAAGTTGCACCTCCAGGGCAATCCTATGAGTTTAATTCTTGTTTCAAGAACTACTTAAGCCCCCGTCACTCCTGCTCCTGTTTGCAAAACCATTAGGACACCGAGATCTAACAGTGCACCTGCATCTAATAGCGTTTCGGCAAAAATGTTGAGACCAGTTGCCCCTGTCACGAGTCACTCTCTTGCAGACTCTTGAAGTGCAAAGGGTCCCTTCGGCTTCGAAAATGCCACTATTGGTCCTGTTTGCGAGGGTAAAGAGATCGTAAGTCGTTGGATTTCAACAGGCCAATATCTCATAGCTCAATTGTATGCAAAGTGGTTGAGAAAATATTGTTGGTGTATCCCAAACCCAATGTTGTCTTTTACACCAATGTGGATCCTGCCCAGGTGCCCTCTAATACCCCTCTGTCCAAATTTTATCATGAATGGGCTAGCATCCTCGATCAAAGAAACCCCCTGATGTTTGCTGTATTCTTTTGTTGGATTGGTCTCGAGCATTTGACAAGTACGACACGACTTAAAGAGGGTTAGCTTGGCTGCCATCTTGCAAGCTATAATGTTGATGTTCCACAGGTTATGAATAAAGGAGGTTTCTCTGTGGAACACAAAGCCTCTATTGGTAACAAAACTCCATTGTTTGGGCATTACACAACGGCCCTGTGGTCTGATTCAGGATTTCGTGAATAGGACTCAGGCTGCTGTGTGGTACCCACTACCCAGTCCCGACGGTGAACAAAACAAGAGTTGCAGCCAACGGAAAAACCTTCGTGACGATGACATTTCTACCAAAATCGTTCCACTCCGGTCGTCTATACTCAACGCGCCCAAACAAAGTATTTGAACACACTGGCAAGAATGTAATGATTTCTCAGTATAGTGCTCATTTTGTGGCACCAAAGGCCGTCTGGCCCAACACTGTCGTCAATTCAGTGGTGTGCCTAGCTTTCCCAGACTCTCACTGATCAAAAATTGTGATCAAACATGCAGGGACAGCCTGAACTTCAAACCGGGCACAGATATGGGTTTTGTCTTCACTACCGACAAGGATCCGGGCGATCTGCGCGAACTCCAGTTCTACTGGAAACACGATTTTGAGTTGCTCAACCCAGGCGACTGGCCAATCTTTGACGACATCGAGGTGTTCATTTCAAAAATCACCATCAAGGGGCTCCGTTTACAGAAAAGGTGAGTCACACACCTTCACACCAAACAGTTTTGTTTGTATGAACTTGAATGGTTACCGGAATAGCCTTGATTAATTCTTTCTTGACGTGAATGTGTAATTAAATTCTAAACACGAAGCTGCACCATTTTTTTTTTCACATTTAGGACTGGCTCAAGGGAGTGAACGCTGATAATGCCCTTACCTGTGGCTTGGGCATTAGTCTCGTTCAATCTCCTGAGCCGGTCTTAAACACATGAGCCAGGCACATATTTGCAACTAAATATCATGGTAAAATCGACCCTTAAACTTGGTTGATCTGGCTAGGCTGATAACCGGAGGAAAACTGTGAGAAAGGCAGATACATGTAATTAGGATATAGAGAGGTATTCTGAAATTAAAAAAACCCAAGCTGAGTGCCATTCGGTTTCCGTGGCATTATGCTGTTTCGGAGAAATTTTACAACCAGGCTACGTAATACATGAAGCCGTCCATTAGATGCCACCTTCGGGTTGGCAACCCAGTCTGAGCCGATCGCGAGTCTCGTTTTACACATCCATACGCACCTTAATTTGCGTTCAACGAAGAAGTCATACCCAAGACGTGTTGCATTTTCGTTTTTCCCCAGTTACACGATGTGCAACAAGAAACCTAAGACAGGCATCAACTCCAAGACGGTGGCCTACTTCAAGGCCTCCTACTGCTAAAGTGGCTTACTGTGGACACAAGGGGGCGTTTTTGAATCACTTTTATTTCCACTACTGATCTGGTTCCCCTGAAATACAACTGCACTTGAAGCTACTTTTTCAAATTAGGAAGAGACACCTTGATTTTCTGTCCCTGTAATGCTAACATGGTCAGGACAAGTATATAATTGATAAACGTTTACAGTTTTTCTTTCAAAACTATTTCAGGAACTGACATCTGAACATTCTTCAAACTGTAGCAGAAATTCATACGTCTTTAATGCTTATCCGAAAGGTAATGATCTTATTATCATTTCAAAAGGGCAAATGTGAGCCTTTTCACCCTTATTCGTGATTATTTTACATCAAGGGGTGAGGCCTCAGTACAAAACGCAGAAATTGAGAAGCAAGGCTAATAAAACTTAGTATAACTAACCAGTTGTTGCACATTATTATTAAAGGTCCACTCTATCTTTCTTCCATCTTCACAAAAATCTTCCACCTTCATAATCCCCGTTAAGTGTTCATTGGGGACACGGAAAAGACTACATCTAGCAAATACTGTGGCAAAGGTTTGCATATTCATTACAAATTCAACCTGTATGGATGATGTGTTTGATTTCATAGTCGAACCTAGTGAATGAGATTTCCCGGATCCCATGGGTTTGACGAATAAAACCAAGTATAATAGCACTTCTGTTTCTGTGTTTGTTGCTGTACTGTTGGTGTTGTCATAGATGTGCAACGTATCTTCCCTAGTCATCCAGAAACCGCCAGTGATCTGGAAACCATAGGCAGGTTTTTAAACCTTTTAACGGGTCCAATTATCCCTCATCCACAGGAAAAAAGCCCAGGATCTACATAATTCCTTCCAAACGCATTACATCTCTCGATTGTTTTCGAGGGATCCCCGTCAACCCTGTTGTCTTCCATATTATACTTTTGACCTTTGAAACACACGTGCTAACCCACATACATGTAGTTAGAATTGCCGTATGGTAAGCTTGAGGTACCTAATCCCTAGTCATGCAGAGCAATTGAGGGTGACTTTGTAGAGATTTTGTTTAAGACCCGATGCACCCTTTGCTGCTAATAACAGCCTTTTTTTCAGTCAATGTCAAGAATTTCATACGCAGGTGGTTGGTTGAGACCCATTGCGCGCGGATTGGAAACTTACCCTACCAGACACCCGGGTAGACATAATCCTTAAAACATAATCTTGCGGTTAACTATGAAATACTCCTTACCATACCCATGTCTTCCTTTAAACTTGAAAACCTGAAATTTGAAGAGGGCATAATTTTGTTCTACATGACAGGAAAAAAGAAGGCCAACCGTTTTGGGACTGAAGTAGAGTGGCCCATGCTGAAAACCTGTGTATTTTGAAGTATGGGTGCCCTTTTCTACAGGGTGTCCACATAAAAGGTATACCGAGATAAAAATTACTGTTATAGCAAAACTGCTTTATGTATGGGAAAGAGAAATATATCGCTAGAAAGGGCAGAATGCCCTCTTTGCAATGGTATACAGCTTGTGATGTTATTGACACAGATGAGTGAACAAACTAGACTGGTGTTAAGGGTACTGAAATCGGCACTGTGACAAGTTTGCATATGTGATTAACAAGGCTAGACCATGCACGTGTGCAGAACACCCCAAAAAAAATGGGACAAAAGAGATGGTCCGTATAAAAAAAAGACCGTACTCGGAACAGAGGACCTGCTGCAGGGTATTGCCATCATTTTTCGGCTTCCATTTTTCGAATCTACTTGAATCCCTCATTGTTTTTAAACAGTATTCCGCTGTTTTGGGCATAGCACGCCCGTGGATTAGCACCGTGGACAAAAGTGCTCCAGGGCCCCATTGATGAACGACACAGCACCACTGCACGCTAATCCGCATTTGAAAAGACGTCATTCGCATTCACTGGGGACAAAGGAAATTACACAAAACCTCGCAAATCTGGGCTCTCTATACAGGGCGGCAGGCCTGGCTGAAGTACTCAGGAGTCGATGAAGGTTACCTGTCAGCTTAGAGTGGCCACCAAACAGTCATTCGTATGGGTGTAAACGTCCATTAAATGAAATATTGAATTTTATGTGTGCATTGCATTTTTAAAAGCACCAGGCAGCATGTGGTAATGGCTACCCACGGACGGCCGCTAGAGAAGCTGTTACTCTCTGCACTACTGCATTTATGCAGTGACTTTGTACCGTTCTCGCTGTACAGACTTCACTGAGTAGTAGGTTTTATTACGACGAAGAAAGCCTTTCAAGCGAAAACTATAGTTGCGGTTCCACTTTTATCAAAGTCTAATATTTTGGGACACGAGGTATTCTCCTGTGCAGCCAATTTCTCCACGGCGCGCACCCGTCTCAAATTCAAATCAAACCATCCCAGGTTGTAGTACGTCTTCACGTTCTTGTAGTGGGCTTCCAGACGCCGGACACAGTCTCGGCGACCTTCGTCTGATCCACACCATGTACTGATGTGGCTCTGAATGATGCCTGGGAACCAGCCAAACTCAAACAACTGAAAGTTGATGACATTTTCAAATGCTTGGCAATTGGCGGGCAGTGGGCCCACGTATCGTTTTGCAACGCAGTAGCCCTGCAGTAAAGGGTTGCGCTCCTTTGGTTTTCGGTAGTAAGTTTCATGTACGGTGACACGTACCTCTGGTAAAGTCTCACTGGGTTTGATGTTCACACCGCGAGGAAGTTGTTTCAAGTTGTAGGCTGCAAGATCTTTGTTGACATCTAAATGCCAGTCATAACGATCATTCTCAAAGTAGTAAGCGTAGTTAAAAATCACGTTGACTGGACTAACCAGATCGACTAATTTCGGAAAGGCGTCGTCCAAGCGGGTCACCTGCAATAGACGTTGTGAAAGATTTCTTATGAAATACAAATGCATGTACGTGGCGGTAAATCGAGCGTCATTATGTTCGTAGAACGGATTGAGTGCTGCTGAGATAATTTTATGAAAATGATGGACTTTTTAAAAAAGATTTAATTACGGACCTAATTTAATTTTGGCATCACCTTATGAAACAGAACCTTTTCGTCAGATTGAAATGAGCGATGATAATAGCGTCTTTCGCAGCTCCAATCAGGTATTGTCGTGCACAATTCAGTTATTGTGTGCTTTTAAAAAAGAAAAATCTCTGTCTTACCTTCATGTGCTTCAGCATGTGATTTCTGCAATTCGTTATGGTGTCTCTCCAAATGTAGGCGGGAAAATGTGTCATGAAATCCGCAACCATGTCCTTACCAAGTGCAAGTTGTGTGGCTTTATACCAACCAATGCGATGCATTCTTTCCCAGTCAGTAAAAGTTACT